CATTCTCTGTTTGTTGAATATCCTGTGCTTGAGTACTATATGAGGATGAATGCTGCATTGCCTTTGGAAGTACACCCTAAACTCTGTGTGTGTGTGTGTGTGTGTGTGTGTGTGTGTGTGTGTGTGTGGGTGTCTGTGTCTGGGTGTGGGTGTGTGTCTGGGTGTCTGTGTGGGTGTGGGTGTTTCAGCACTGGAGGTCCTTGCGGAGCTGTGGGTCCAAATACATCAGTCCTGAGTGTCCCACAGGGCAGGAGGAGCCGTTTCCCCAAACCCAGACCCAATCTGGTCGGCACCACCCGCACCCCCCCGGCCCAGCACACTGGTGAGCAGAGACACAGGCAGTGTCCTCTGCCCTGGTTACTTATGGCTGCGTAACACACGGCTCTGTGTCTGAATGGAAATAATTCTTGCAGTAGGCTTCCACTCAGTATTCACAATGGAGTCTGTCTGTCTGTCTGTCTGTCTGTCTGTCTGTCCGTGCGTGCCTCTGTGTCTGTGTCTGTGTCTGTGCATGTTCAGGAGCCTCAGCTGCCATTGCTGCAGTGGAGCCAGAGTCTCTGAATACCGCTGATGTGGGGAAGAGAGACTCGGACCGAGTCACAGCAGGAAGGGACCCGGATAAACAGGAGACTGAAGGATCAGGAGAGGAAACTCAGAGACAGGATGAGGAGCTGAGGTAAGACGCCACTTTTCTCTGTGTGTGACACATGGCCTCTCACTTCAGGCAATGAATCACGCAAAGCCTTTGCCACCAACATTGCGCTCCTCTCTGCTAACAGTGTACTTCCATTCGGTGCTCTACCCAAAATTCCAGTGCTTTTTTACTTGACTTTGTCTGTGTGTTTCAGTGCGGGAGATTCTCAGGAAGGCGCTTCCCAGTCTGAGTCGTCCACCCAGAGTGTTGTTCGGGGCAGGCGGAGGCAGTTCCCCAAACCCAGACCAATTCTGGACCGAGCTCTACGTAACCCTCGCCTCCCCCCAACCCAGAACACTGCAGCCCCCAGCACAGGTAAGGACACCAAGGGGGGGCAGATTACGGCATTCACCCAGCACTGTTGCTCCAAAAAATGTTTGTCACCTCCTAAATTTTTTGGGTGATTTATTCACCAGATAAGTTGCATAGCCAGCGTGTTTATTCGGCAGAGTGTGTTGTAGGATCAGGGGCAGCAGTGTGCAGTAGCAGTGAAGTAGTTGTGTTTACAACACAAAGGTGGCAGGTTCAGCTCCCAAGTGGAGCACTACTGTTGTACACTTGAGCAAAGTGCTTGACCTGAATTACCCCAGTGAATGCCTTTTACGTCAGCAAAAGTGTTTTGGATTCTGTTTTGTAGTGACTGGGATGTTTGGTAGTATACTTCACTTCCCTTGTCTAGTCAGGTCGCAGTTAACTTGTGGTAGGGCTGACTCTGACACTGTTACTCATTCAACTTGAGTGGATACAACTCTGTTCTTTTGTGCTGAAAGTTGCTCTGGATAACAGCGTCTGCTAAATGAATGTAATGTAATATAAATGACAAGGTGTGCAAACTGATGACTTGCAAAATATACGCTGTGGAAGTTGCCTGGAGTAAGGGTGGCTATTAAGAAAATATGTAATATATATAAAATTTATAATATATATAGATATATTTAGCTGAATGTATGAACAGAGGCAAAGGTGTATTTTTTTTCAGCCTCTCTCCTGTTTCGTCAGGTACTTAGATATTTGCCATGTCTTTGTACAGTAGATGAACGTGCTGCCGGGGACTCTGAAGGCCAGAGGCCTAGAGAAGAGGAGGTCTCATCCTGCAGCATCAGCAACAGCAAAACAAAGCTGGGAGATGGAGGCCAAGGCAGAGCTTCAGCTGAGGAGAGCAGGACAGGAGCGCAAGCCCAGATGTAAGTGACGGGCAGATTGTGCAGCAGTAATAATCACGGTCTATTTCAGCGATAAGATCTCTCTAAATCTAAAATGCTGTCTGTTTTCACCAAAGCTGTCTTCTGCTCGACTTGGCCAATGTTAAACAGTTAGCTTTCCTGCAGGGACAGAGCAATGGTGGAAGTTCGGATGGAGGAAACGGACAGGACTTGCAGCACAATCGCTGTTGAAGAGAGCTGTCTTGCAGATAGAGAGAAGAACCAGGAAACACCAGCCAGCTTTGACTCAGCACAGGTAATCAAATGTAATGAGGGAAAAACAGTCCTTCACACAGTGTTTGTATATAACAGTGTGTCTGCACAGGACCTGTTTATTCTTCATTTCCTCATTCATTTAAAGTTCAAACGAAATGTTCTTTTTCACATCTCTATCTTCCAGCCCATTCCCCTTGGGTATTACTGGTGCATGACCATCACTGTCTGATTACCGTAACTGACCGGCTGCTCTCTCACCTCAGCTTAGCTGGGTGTTCAGTCATGATATAACGTGTCTGACTGATGTGTCTACTGTGTCTCTCTTGGCAGGAAGTAAGTAGCATCCACATTGAAGATGACCTTAGCGCTGCCATCTCCAGCCACACCACAGAAGGTAGGTTTTCTGCTGCTCAGCCACATCCGTGAATACATCTGTTGTTCCATAATTTTCTCGTATCAGTGCTTCTAGGCACTGTGCAGAACTGAGTGACTGAATCCGACCCGAAAGCACTGTCATTGTCCTCTGTTACCCGTCTGAACTGGTGCTGTCGGCGCATTCTCTCACAGGAGTCTCGGTGACGGCCGACTTCCCGCCTTCCACGTTCTTCCTGACGCTTTTTGAGGTGTCCCCGCCCCAGATCAGTGACTTCCACTCCGACGCGGATCAGATGGGCGTGGTCACGGCCGAGCTCCTCTCTCCATTGGTGTTCGTAGAGCAGCAGTCCTCACTCTCCACCCAATCAGAGACCCAGAGGTGAGGGCTGCCTCCAGAATTACCATTGATAGGAGAAGTTGTGGCAGTAATGGGGATAGCAAAAACCCCTATCCAGGGTGACTTGTATAACATTAATACACAAGTGAGTAAAAAACACTGTCATATTTAAAATGATAATAATTAGTTAGTGTTGTAGTTTCACCTATACAATTATACACACCTGTCTTACAGAGAATATTTTGTCCCTAAAAAGGTGCTTGCTGGGTGAGGGGAGTATAATAAGTCTTCCCAACACTTCCTTTACCTCTGTTTAGAATGTCCCAGGTCTACAGCAGTCTCAACTTGGAATGTGAATATCTAGATGCTTTTATTGTACACCCATTAGGTTTTGTATGTCTGGACCGTCGCTGGTCTTCATGGCTGCGCTTTCTCCTAGCTATGACCCACTGAACGTGGCAGCGAGTGAGCTGGGAGCAGGGTGTGGCCAGGTGTCCCACCCGGTAAACTGCGATCCCCTTGTGCCTGTCCCAGAGGAGTCAGGAGAGGTGTCAGGTTACAGCTCCCTGAGGGTGAGGGAAGCTTCCTCTACAGATGACACGGTGAGTCAGAATTTGGTTTTGTTTTGAGGTTTTCATCCTGTTTGCATGGACACTGTACGTGTTGGATTAATAAGAGTTTTGGTGTCCAGAATATTGAGTGATCTTTCATTCTTTTTTCTGCAGAAGTACAGTGTGGAGAATGTAGAAGACTCACATGGTAAGAGTGATGCCCTTGATAGATAACCCTTTACGCTGGTATTAGGGTTGTGTATCTTTTCCTCTCTGATATGATGTGTATCTAGATACACATCCTACGATATGATACAAAAACGATACATTAATACACGTGACAATATGATACACTCCTACTTAGTGCTAAGACAGTCAAGAAAGGCTTTTTTTTCCCTCCCTAAAAGGGTGATGGAAACCCAACCCATTTGTCACCAAAAAAACATGACATAGCAATTTAAAAATTGCTTCATGCGTCAATATTGATGAGGGCATTCATTTGTCTCTTTCTTCACACAGCCTGAAATAAAGCTAACATAAATGAGAGCCGAGAATAATTATTATTTGTAGGAGGGTTATCGACTCTTGAAGAAATCTCTCCATTTTCTCATGTATTTCACATGTCCTAGGCTACTTAATTTTGGGTGATCAGAGGGAAACCCCAAAAGCTATATACAACATGGTCTATTACACAGTCCCGTTTTACCCCATTATTCACTTCAACCCGAGAGATGGAAACATTCCATTTCAATTTAGCGATATTACGAACGACCACTTAAGTTTGCCAACAGTCCAATAGAAACATAACTACAGACAAGCTGCTGTATCAGTTTTGGCCTTATGTGTGAATTTTTGATTCATTTTTTGAAAAATTCGAATCGTATTTTCCAGTTTAAACCAGTGCAGCCATATCAGATGCCAGTGTGTCATTTTCCAATGCAAATTGCTTTATCTTTGCACCCTTAACTGTACTTGTGTGTACAATTTAGTGTTGACATGAAAGTCGTCATGATAAATTGTGAATGATTTGACTCTGTGTATTTTTCTCTGTGAAAGCATGCTCCTATTGTGTGTTTCATGTGTTAGTTATATGAATTTTCTTTCTGAAATAAGACTGAATATGGTGTTACTGTGTGGTATGACAGAGGACAAGAGTGTCAGCCTCAGTCTCGTGGTGGAGGGGTCATGTGACTCTGACGTTGTGACATGTGACGTTGAGGGGAAGCATTCAAGCGAGCGGGCCACCCCTCCCTGTAAGAGGAAGAGAATGCCGGTCCGGTCCAAAGGAGGTGAGAGGCTTTTTTGATTTCTGAGAAACGGTTTCATTGGACTATAGAGGACTATTCAGCATGGAGCTAAGTTTTAAGTGCATAAAGAAACAGTAGCAAATGCATTCAAACTCAGTGGCAGATTCATTCAGGCTTACCACAGGTCGTTGAAAACATAGTGTGGATATCAGCTAATGGGGAGTAATGCTAATCTGTGCTACTACATTACATTATTGTGATTTGGTAGAGTCTTATCCATAGCAGCTTGTATGGGTTAAATTTTTAAATGTTATTCATTTATACAGCTGGATGTTTACTGAGGCAATTCTGGGTTAACTACCTCGTCCAAGGGTACAGCAGCAGTGTGGGTAATTGAACCAGCAACCTTTTGGTTATGAGCCCCGCTCCTTACCACTATGCTACACTGCTGTCCCCTCCCCCAACATTTTGTGCTGGCGAAAGAAATGGCCATCAAGGAGTGATGTGTGAAGGGATAATATCACAAAAGCTGTGAAACGGCATGTTTGTACCACTCAGAGTGATTGTTGGACACGTATCTCCACCTTTGTTTGCAATCAGGTAACCAGCAGGTGAAGCCCAACACATCTGAGGAGGAACCTGCAGAGTCCACAGAAAGGGATCCTCAGGGTGTCCTCAGGAACGAACATCCGCCGCGATCCCCAGGCCAAACCCCGCCGCCTCGCTGTCCTGCAGCCCAGTGCAACCACACAGTGCCAACAGCAACACCGCACACATGTGCTGCGGAGGAGGTGCCCCGGGGGCTTGTTGGACACTCAGTCCTCCCACAGTTGGACGGGGACAGTGCTGGCCAAACAGAGAACACAGAAAGCAGCACCTCAGGAGAAGAGCCACAGAGCAGCCACCAAACCCTGCCTCAGACCAGCGATGGCCCACTGACAAGGTAAGTCCCTTAGTGTCAGTGAGTCAGTGGACTTCATCTGTAGGTCTGAATCTGCACTGTTATCTCTATTGAAAATGGTGTTAAGAGAATAAAATCAGGGCTTGTGCCAGAGGAGGGTAATGGTATTGTGACTGAAACTTAAAAGTTTTCTACCCTCTCTTTCCTCTGGAGGACTGGACGGAAGCCCAAAGGATTCTTGTCTTTTATCTCCAACAAGAGCACCCCCGGACCTGCGGGCGCTCCCCGCACCTTCAGGCCTGCATCTCAGAGGCCCCAGGTCAACACGTCCCGCATCGAGAGGAGGAGGCCTGCCTCCGTGGCCCTCGGGGGTCCGTCTGCAGACCCATCCTCTGTCAGCGCTCCACCTTCCAAAGTCAGAGCCATTGCCTCCCAGGGTGGGTCTGCCCCAAAGGTAAGCTTGACCTAGGTCTTCACGTTTGAAGTCGCTTTCAGTGGTCCAGCTTTGTAGTGGAACAGTGAACACAGGTTTGAAGGCATTTTAGCCAATGCAAATATTTTTAGGTGCGAAGTAGCAAAGTGGCAAAAATGCAAATTCTCATAGTCACATCATTTCAGGGGACTAAAACAGACCAATGAACCAAAGGACAACATCCATATAGGAGCCAATGGGCAACAATATAAGAAATTAAAGCAAAGAGCAAGTACAACCAAACCCAGTATAGCTTTGAGACAATGTTATATAAGGTGAATGATAGTATTTTAAAAGTAATTTAATTGATGCGTTTTTGTCACTTCCCATCTTTTTCAGTTGGCTCCCTCTCAAGACTCCAAATCTCCTCAGGGTGAGGCCCCCTGTGTCAAAGCATCAAAGACCGACCAAGAGCCCACCAATGTGTCGGAGTACTTCTTCAGTGACATCTTCACACAGGTGGAGGAGCTGGACTGACTGCACCACAGGCAAGCTGGTCTCTGACCAGCACCTGAGGGGGACTCTGCACCTGAGTCCTGCCCGTACTCTAGTCTGTTTACCTGTCTTATCTTGCTGCTGGGACTGTACTGGCCAGAGCGGGACCACCCCCACACACACACACGGATGTGCACACACTCTGCTCCCTGGCCCTGCCATTCCGGACATGTTTGTTTTTAAACCTAGTGACCTCATTATATTGAGGAATCCTTTTTTATGTATGTATGTGTATATTTGTAAAGGTGATATATGCAGGCTGTTAAGGATTACAGTCTCTCCTAGCTTTTACAGTACCATAAGTATGCTGTCGTTTCCGTTGTTTAGTTTTGATCACATCCATAGATCACATTAGCAGTTAATATTACTTTCACTTTTGCATATGCGTGCAGGCTGCTTTGATAGCACTTTGTTTCTGCTTATTAGCCTAGCTGAATATGATCTAGCAGGGTCTTACCTTCTGCAGTGTGCAGCTGCAGAAGGTATCTCATCTTATGTGCTTACCGGGCGTGTTTAGTCCAGTAGAAGTCATCCAACCTTGCATCCAGAAGTTTTTTTTTTTTTTTTTTTGTAACAAAATCTAATGTGAGTGTTCATGTCATTGCACAATATGGGCCATTTACCTTCATCAGAGCATTTTCATTCGAATCAATAACACTAATCAGTAACAGTACACATTGTTACTGATAAGTGACAAAAATTAGAAAGTGTTGTGCAGATGGATCTCCAATATTTCTGTTTGACATTTTATAAACATTACAAGGAAAGAAAAATATAATAATTGCAATACTCAGACCACAGTGTTGACATCACTTTCTTTCACTCAATTTCTCAGTGTCTAAATGAAAATCAGTGAAACAGTGCATTTCAATTCATATGACATCTGGAACCTCAGATGATTTTTACTGCATTCAGTAACCAGTTTAGGAAAAGAAAAATATTTCTCCTTAGATATGATTGGAAACAAAATGGTTCTTGTTCCTCCAAACAGACTTTTTTCCCTCAATCATACTTTTTCAGTTGGATGTGGTCTCTGAAAGTAAAGGAACCAGGGCAACCCAAATCAAACAAGGCACATGTAGAAACTCCTGTATCTGCATTTTATGCCAAATTCAGACATCAGTGCACTTGGTTAACTAAAGAATGTCATTCTTCATTTTAACTTCTAAAGCTTTGCCGTAGCCAATACAGAGATGGTATATCTTGTGGTCTTTTGATCCTCAGGTATGAAAAGTATCATGCCAGTTTAAAAGAACTACCCTGTGAATTCTGTGAGCGTGAGTATAAAAATGTTAACACAGTATTTTCTTTATTTATTCATGGTTTAATACTTAGCTTCATCTTTTAATGTTTTGTAAGTTGGTATTATCAGTTGAATATACAGCTGTCAGCTTTGCTGCGCTTGTTTAAATGGTAATATTGAAAGATCTCTGCCTTAAATCCTTGTCAAAACATTTCCTTTTTACAGCTTTAAAACTGATCATTATTGTATTATTCAAAGATTTTATTTTAAGCAATTGAAGATCTTAAAAAGAAGGGGCCTCCACTCTAATGAGTAGAAAAATGTACCTCACTATTTTACAGGATGTTGGCTCAGGGCATATTTCTAATATTTTTTTCCTCCGAGGTTTTGATTTTTGTAGTTTGTTTACAGAACTTTGTCAGCTATATTAAAGTTTTTTCATAGTTAGTTTTATTAAATGATTCATGTTGAAATGGATTTTTATAGCATCACATTGTCGTGTACGCTGAGAGAAGAAAAAGATAGGCATTGTGTCGGTCTTAATTATAACTTCAATGTTGAGGTTCAAAAAATAGGAAGGCTATTATAAGGTAATGCACTTTTTCAAGCAACTTTTTGGTTTTATATAAACAGAGTCATTTTTACTCATCTCAGTTTTATTTAATATCTGGCTGTTTAACTGCCTTATTTAATTTTTTGTTGGTCCTGGAAAGTATCATCTTTCTGTAACAGTATTTTCCTTTTAAACACCGCTATGTTATGTTTTACTGAAAGACCCTACCCAGATTCAGGGGAATGTTAGTTTTGATGTTTCCGCTTTGAGGAAGTTGGCCTTCCATTTGTCGCATATTTTGATTTCCTTTTATATTTTGTCTGTTTTTGACCTGTATACAGTTCGGCATATTTTACAAGCCTGTGCACTGGACAGATTGTACCATCACTGAAATTGTGTTGAAGCTAGCAGAGAAGATTTGATTTGCATTTTGAACTTTTGATTTATAGTCCAGTAATCAGAAATATGTGCACAAATCATGCTTTTTGTTCATTTTATGTGAACAGAATAGGTAAGCTGTAATTTATGTAAAATATGTTAATAAAATTTTGTACTGTTATTTTTGTGTGAAATGTCAGTTTTCATGTTTGATGAGCTCCTATGTCAAAAGATTTGTGATTCAAAACTGTTTTGCTACAGCAAGCTACAGTATTACATGTCGAATGCAAAGGAAAACACATCCAAGACTACCACTTGTAAGTGATATTTTCTGTTGTCACACTATCAAGAAGATGCAGAATAGTTCCTTGGCTATGAATGTCGCTACATCAAAGTAGCCCTCTGCAGATGTATTTATTGAGTAGTTCAAATAGGAGATTTTAAGACAAGGTATCAGGTTTATACTAGCAGACCATATTGGAGGAATGGGTACAGGATGATTGTTGAAGTGATGACGTTAGGGTTTACACATGTAGACAAGACGTTTCACACCCATACCTCCTGTGATCTGTAGTGCAGTGCATTTTTTTATGTTTTCGATCTATCGATTTTTAAAGTTTTCATCGATTCAAGGATATCAGTTGGTGCACAGCGTTCTTAAAAGTTTCCACCTTTTGCAAGGTGTAATTCTCTTCCATATCCGTCATTGCATTTTGCTCCAGTCTACCTCTAACAAAAACTAGATATTTCCCGATGAAACAGGACTTGCAGGACAGTACAGATCGCATATTGACAATCTCCTGATTGCCATTTGCACATCTTACTTAGGGGATTTTTTCCTACATCTGATCTACATTTATTTCTAAATTTCTTTTGATGAGTTATGGTTTTTTGTGTCTGCTCAGATGGCAGTTTTCTGAGGATTGCTCAAGATATTGACATTTAACCTGTAGTAAAACCTCCAGTTAGCATGTGTGATGTCCTTGGTCGCAACTACAGAGCTGAACTGCAACGTTACAAAAAAAAAGGGTCATCTACAGTTAGATAATATGAAAATTAACTTTGCTCAATACTTAATCAGCAGAGTAAGAACCAGATTTAAATGAGCCGACGGTGAGAGAATTGCGCAATCGAAGCCGTTTAAAGCAAGACAGTATGAACAAGAAGTATTCCGCATAAAAAAAGAAAATGCCATTACTGCCGTTTTCTCTTTTTACAATCACTGGCTCAGCGGTGATGACACCTCGGAGACTTGTGTGTCTGCACGCGTGCTGTGGAGGGTTGCAACTCCTGCATGTGACTGCTTCCACTCTGCTGTTGTAACGGTAGTCAGACTGAGTTGTGTTTAATTAGATGTTATGAGGCACAGCTTGGCTGCCAGTGGTCGCTGCAGAGTCATAGGAGGTCA